CCTAGAGAGGGCAAAACCAAGTTGCTCCTTGGAGAAAAGGAATTTGAATCTCCATTTCACATACTTTAGACATATTACTAGGGGGACCAATCGTTGGAGAAGGACATTTTGCTTGGAAAGATGGAGGGGCAGAGTAAGAGAGGAAGACCCTGGAGAAGATAGATGGATGGACATATAACTGGGGTTCTGGGGATTAGGTGTGCCTGAGTCAGTGAGACTGGCTCAGGAAAGGGCAGGATCCAGAGCTATTGAGGTACAAGTCCAAGCAACTGGACAGCACATGACAATAACAAACAACAAATGCTGGTGAGTAGGCAGAGACACTGGAACTCTCAGAGACTACTAGTGCGAAAGTAAAATAGTACCACTATTATAGCAGGCAGTCTGGTATTTCCTCAAGAAGTTGAAAACAGAAATCTCATTTGATCCAGATATTTCACTACTGGGGAAATACCCTAAGGAAGTCAAGAGCTGAGCTACAAACAGATCTATGTACACCTACCTATGTTTACCACATCATTATTCACAAAAAGAGATGGAAGCAGCCCAAGTACACATACACAAATGAATGGATAGAGAAACTGGTACATTCTAAAAATGGAATACCATGCAGTATTTAAAAACAATGAAGAACTTGTGAAACTATACAACATGAATGAGTCTAGAGGAAAATATGCTGAGTGAAGTAAGTCAGTCAATATTTACTAAGCACTATATTATAAAAATAGGATAGTTATTGGGGCTCAGGGAGAGCAAAAGTAAATGAAAATGATCACTGTGATGGATTTGTGAAAGGTTAGATCAATCTGAAATTAATGGTATGTGTATTATAATTAGCAATCTGTAATAGGACATGAATAACTGATTGAATAAGGAAGAGAAAGAAAAAGGGGTTGGAAAAAAAAGATATAACTTAAAAAACACAACAAAAAAGTCTTGAAAAGAATATTCTTATTCTAAAGAGATAAATACCATGGACTGCTAGGAAAACAAACAGATTTGTCCTGGAAAGGGTTAAACCGGGTGGCTCCTTGGAGCCAAGGATTCTGAGGCTCCGTCTAACATACTTTGGACATGTTGTGAGGAGAGACCGGTCCTTGGAGAGGGACATCATGCTTGGGAGGGTAGAGGGACAGCGCAGGAGAGGAAGGCCCTCTATGAGGTGGATTGATTCAGTGATCGGGATAGTTGGGATGGGAGTGTCGGAGACAGTGCGATTGGCACAGGACAGAGCAGAGTTTAGGGCTGTTGTACATAGGGTCGCTATGAGTCGCAGGCGACTCGACGGCACATAACAACAACAACAACAAAGAGATAAATAGACTAGTTTTATAAATGGTCTGATAATCCTAAAACTAGTAGAAAGTGATAAAGTACATCCTTTCCTGGAATAAAATAAGAACTTTATAACTAAAATTTGATACTGTGTCATTATAATTTTCATAGATAACTACTACCAACTAATTAGAGAAACTGAATGACTCTGAAGTCTTATTTAACCAAGAGACCAAAAGAGAAGTCTTTATATAAACTGCATTAATAATAAAATCATGACCATGGGTTTGATATCATAAGGACTAAGTTTTGCTTTACTTCATGAATGTAGATCACACTTGCACTAGGAAGTATAATCCCTGGAACATATGTTACCTTATAAGGTAAGGGGTAATTAAGGTAATTGTTATTTTTTTAATGTATTATCAAGTTGGCATTGACTTACAGCTGACCTTCCAGCAGGTTTTCAGAGGAAGTAAATCACACGGATGGAGAAGGTCCATTTTTCTCCCAAAGAGCAGCTGGTGGATTCGGACCATGTGCCTCTGAGTTGGTAGCATAATTCTTTACCATCAGGCCACCCAGAGGTCTTATAATTAAGAGAACAGATAAAACCAAAGGTACTAACTAGCTGACTTAAACACAAGTAGATTATTCTGGCTTATTCATGGTGACTATTATCATAAAGATCCTTAAATGTGGAAGAAGGAGGCAGAAGAAGTCAAGAGTGATTCAATCTGTTTTTGAAGGTGTGCCTTTGAAATCTGAGAAGGATTCAATCTGCCATTGCTGGCTTTGAAGACAGAAAAAGAGGTTCATAGGTTAAATAAGGCCTCTATTGTGTGTTGTTATTAGGTATTGTCAAGTAGTTTCTAACTAATAGTGACCCTAAGTACAACAGAATGTAATATTCCTAAGGCCTGTGCCATGTTTACAATTGCTACTGTGCTTGAGTCTATTGTTGCAAAATTTGTGCTTTTCTATATCACTGAGGTACATTTCCTACAAACTGGAAAAGGAAACAGGTTTTCCTCTAGAGCCTTTAGAAAGAACAGTTCTGCCAATATCCAGATTTTAGGCAGTGAGAATCTTAGGTTTCTAACCTAAAAAATTGTAAGTTACTAAATTTATGTTTTTCTAAACCCACACAGCAGCAATTGGAAACTTAAACAGTGATAAAAACTATTTCACAATGGGGGACTGTGATCAAAGACTTTAAGATGAAAACCTTTTGGTAAGGCAGACAGAAATCCATTATAATAGTCTCTGTGGAAAAAAAATAAAGAAAATAACTAAAAATTGGTCTACTGGAATGTTGTTGTTAAGTGTCACTCAGTCAACTATGACATATAGAGATCCTATGAACAACAGACCTGTACCTTGTACGATCTTGCACCATGGTCAAGCACACCTGGGTCTCCAGACTGAAATCATTGTTTTTTAGCACTTTGGAGAGGTCTTTGACAGCAGATTTCTCCAATATAACTTGTTTTTTGATTTCCTAACTGCTGGTGCCATGAGTGCTGATTAGAGTGGATTAGAGCAAGATGAAATTGTGAACAACCTCAATCTTTTCTCCATCTATTATAATACTGCCTCTTGGCCTGATTGTAGGATCTTTGTTTTTTTGCTTTTAAGATGTAATTCATATTGAAAACTGCAGTCCTTGATCTTCAACAGCAAATGCTTCAAGTGCTAATCAGTTTCAGTAACCAAAGTTGTGTAATCTGTATAATGCAGGTTGTTTATGAGTCTTCCTCCAATCCTGATGCTATATTCTTCTTCAGAAAGTCCAGTCTCCCAAATGATCTGTTCTGCACATAGTTTGAAAAGGAATGGGGAAAGGCTACATCCTTGAAGCACACTTTTCTTGGTTTTGAACCATATAGTGTTCCCTTGCTCTATTCCAACAACAGCTTTCTGGTCTAGGCATAGGTTTCACATGACCAATCAAGTATTCTGGGATTCCCATTCTTCTCAGTGTTAGTCACAATTTATTCTGATTCACACAGTCAAATGCCTATGCATAAATGACAAAATACAAACAGACATCCTTCTGGTACTCATAATGCATCTTGACTACATGTTCAGTCAGTTTCAGACTGCAAAAGTTGGTAGAATTTCTCAATTTCCTCATCTTTGGCTTTAGCTGTTGGTGTGCATATCTGCATAAAAATTGTATTAGCAGGTCTTCCTTGTAGGTTTATGGATAATATCCTATATGAGCCAAAATTGGATCTGACAACACCCAACAGCATTAAAAACATTAATTAGGGTTCTAACACATCCTTACACATACTCTGCAGTTACTTTAGAGCTTTTTGTTCTACTCTGTCTAGCCCTCAGTATGCCAGCAAACCCGGACTCTGCCCCTTCCATTTCCATAGGAATCATGCAGATTGTCAACTATATTAAAACCATTACCCTCTCCTATGCACATAGACACCTCCAGTAAGACCTGTCGATTAATTGGACCTATTTTTGCAAATTTTTGGCTTTTTTTTTTGCCACCAGGTGAGCACAGAAGCCATGGTTTTTTAAAATTAAGGTCTTGAGGGTCTTTTGTTCCTTACCTTTCAGACTCTCTAGCTGCTGTGCCTCAGGCTAAAGACGCTCTGGGCCTTCTCTTGGCCCTACTAGGAACCCCTTTCAGCAGGATGTAGATACCACTGGCTGATCTGTGGTCTTTACTAGTCAGTGCTGACTGTGATCGTTTTAACTTCCATGGAACATAAGCCACTACCATCCAACTTTTTTTTTTTAAATATGTGTAGGGCATATAGACCTAGGAATGACCAGGATGATAGCACCCCAGGAGTCACCTTTTTTTCTTTTGAGCCGGAAAATTATTCAAAATTGGACATGGTCCTCTTTGATTATCAGGTCCTGGGTCTGAGGAATTAAAAAATAATAAGCCTCCCTCTACACCCCTTTTTTATTTATCAAGGTCCCTTTCCTGCCTCTTCCCCAAGAGTTCAGAGTACAGTGCTCATTCTAGGAGCCCCATTTACACAGGCTTTCAGCGACTCTGAATGCTCTACCGCCTTTTCCTTGAGAAAGGACTGAAATACACTCCTGCTGTGCCCTCTCCCTCCCTCCCAACTCCTGCCTGTGTTTGTGTGGATCCCCAATTCCCAGAAATACACTGTTGAGATGGACACACTGTCTGTAAACCAATGGGTAACTCTCAAGTCCTGTTGCAGACTTCAGGTTGTTCTGTATAAAATGCAAAATAAATGTTTTTATTAACAGTAAAAAAAAATCTTCTAACATTCTGAGTAACATTCTGAGTATACCTCACTCCATACTTTCACCTGACCATTATTTTCGTTCCCTAAATTCCATTATTTTCGTTCCCTAAATTCCAGTAGTATGTTTTTGTACCACCTTTATTATTTTAAGGTAAAATTAGGCAAAAAGATACACAGTTAGTGAATGGAAAAATAGAGAAGACACAATCATTCCCTCTGTGACACAAGTTGACTGTCTTCCACACGAACTATGGGGGTACATTACAAAATAAAAATTAATCTCTTATACAGCTGACCATACTAAAATATTCTTTTACAAAAAATTCTATGGGAAATCTAAAATAATATAAAATTCTGTAAATAGAGGTAAAACAAATATAGCCAAAATGAAGGTGTGGGGAAGAGGAAGATTTCTTGTATTTTCACTACGCTCCTCAAAGAAAGTGAAAATGTAGAGAAGTGAGTGATATTTACCTTGTTCAGTTGGTTCTCTTACATAGGGCTTAAGATGAGACATTTTGATAGGTCTTTTAAGTCTAGCCCCAGTGTTGTCTCTCAGGACTGCGCACCCACTCTCTGTAATATAGTCTATAACACAAGGACCAACCCATTCAGATTGGAAACGACCATCTTTCCACCAATTTTTCCTTTGTCTTAAAACTTCATGTCCCACTTTTAGATGAAATGGATTTAGCTGCTTTGGTTTCTTTTTAACAACGATCTTGTTTTTATTCACTTCAAAATTGTTGTTCTCCATCTGTAAGTACCAAAAGCAAGAACAAAAAAAGAGGAAAGAACTATATAAGTTCTTGAATACAGATATTATTATAATAAAATGACTATTAAGATATTAGTAAAAAGGAGATAATGAATCCTATATAAATATTAAGACATTATTTAAAAGTTGATATTACCTCTATATATAAAGTAACTAATGTAGAGATAGCTTAATTAAGTTGCCTAAGTCAAATAAAGAGTAAGACTTGGGATTTGAATCCTCTACTTGATTTCACAACCCACTGCTTTTTCCACTATTGTCTCCCAGATTTTCACAGCTAATAGTTTACTATGCAATCAATATAAGTATATTTTATTTTAAAACTTAGAAGTAAAACATAAAACCAAAAACCCCTTACAGGTATAATACATGTATATATATCCTGAAATCTTATAGATAATTTTATTGATTATAGAGGTATTTTTATCTATTAGTGTCACCTGGCCCGCTGAAGTTGTCTTTTCCGCAATTATTTTATCAGCTTCTTTAATTGCTTCTAGAATTTTGACAAACATACTTGTATTATCACCATCCACTTCATGAAGACTATCTGAAGTCTCAAGCATGTGAGGATTTCGATTAAACATCTGAAAATATGGTGTATTTTTAGCAGGCTCCTATTTTAAGGGGAAAAAAACCCAGCAAGTATTTAACTAGCCAGAAATAATAAGTCAACAATAGAAAGATAAAAGTATTAAAAAGACATACCAGGTGAGTTATATTGAAGGCAAATGAAATAGCTGATAGGTGATCATCCCAGTTGTTTGGGTGGTCAGCACAGTGTTTGGAGAGAAATGCTTTGATTATGCTAGGAGTATTTTCAGTGAGATCAACAGTTCGAGAGGCATGAGAAATTACAATTTGCTTTGTGCCAAACAATCCATATAGTTCGACATTGATCTAAAAAAACGTATTAAAACAGTATTGATTTTTAAAAATCAGTATTTTTCCAATGAAATAAAAAATTCAAAAGAATTTGAATTATGAATATTTTATTGGGCTTTTTTTCCTGGCTCTTAATGAGTGAGTTAATGTAAAGCACATAAAGCGATATTGTTGTTGGGTGCTGTTGAGTCAGAACCACCCCATAGCTGACCTTCCAGTGAGTTTCAGAGGCAGTAAATTGCATGGAAGGAGACTGCCCTTCCTCCCACATAGCAGCTAGTGGATTCAAGTTGCATGCCTTTAAAGATTATACCAAAGCTTGCCACTAGGCCACCAGAGCTCCTTAAAAGTTATTAGCAGGTCCTAGTACTCTGGAGGGAGCTCTGGTGGAACTGTGCTGGTAACTCAAACGTATGTGGTTCAAATCCACCAGCTGCTCTACAACAGAGGATGGGCAATCTCCTTCCGTGAGATTAACTGCCTCTCTATGGGTCCATCCTGACTTGATGGTACATAACAACAAGAAGAACTTTGGAGCTCTGGTGGCCTACAGTTAAGAACCTGCCATGTATCCCATAGACTCACAGTCTGAATCACCATGCTCTGTGGGAGAAAGATGGCCAATTTTTTCTTGTGTGATTTACTGCCTCTGAAAAGCTGCTGATGGATCAGCTATGGGGCCGTTCTGACTCGAGGGCACACAGTAAGTAGTTTGGAGCTCTGGTGGCCTACTGGTAAGAAGTAGCAATGCAATCCCATAGGCACAGAGTTTTAATACACCAGCTGCTCTGTGGGAGAAGAATGGGAAATCTTCTCCTATGTAATTTATTGCCTCTGAAAATCCACTAAAGGGTCAGCTATGAGTCGGTTCTGACTATACAGTGCACAACAACAAAAAACAATTCCTTTAGACAACATGACTGTTTTAAAGCGGACAATGCTAGTCCACCTGAGGTCATTATGCCTAGGAAGTTGATTCTTATGTGGCCTATTTAATTTTTTACAATGTCAAATTTTCCTAGTCATACATTTCACGCTCCAGTCATTAATGGATGCTTGTAACGGGTCCTCCTCATTTTTAATACCTTCCAGTCTGAGAGTCTGTCCTGGAAAAAGTAAAATGAGGGTGCTCCACGGAGGCACTCCATCTCAAATTCTTTGGGCATTTCGTTAAAGGGGCCATTCCCTATAGAGAGACATCATGCTTGGAGAGGTGGAAAGCCAGTCTAAGAGAAGGAGACCTTCAAATAGATAGACTGAAATGGTGACTGTAACAATGGGCTCAAATATGTCAGAGATGGTGAAGAAGACAAAAGATAGGGCAGGGTTCAGAACCATTGATTAAGGGTTGCTATGAGTTGTAGTCAACTTGATGGGACTTAACAACACAATAAAGTACTTTAGAGGGGAACTCTGATGGTGCAGTCATACTTTAGAGGGGAACTCTGATGGTGCAGTCTATAGCAAGTTGTGCTGCTAATCAAAGGGTTGCACAACTCCTGGCAGTTCAAATTCACCAGAGGCTCCATGGGTAGGTTACTCCCATTATGATTAGATTTGGAAACCTGTTGGAGGGTTGCTCTGGGTCAGACTCAACTCAATGTCAATGAGATTGAGCTTTGTGTTTTGAAGCCCTTTATCAAGTTTCCAGAAGGTTCCTACTCCTTTCATGAAACACCTAATCTTTCGATCTGCAACTCAGCATGTTACTAACTTCTATATAAAGAAAACAACTCAAAACTGGGCCACCAGGCTACACTGTAACAGAGAGAATACAGGGTATTACCCAGGATTTAATTTTACTTGGATCTATAATCAACACTTGGAGAAGCAGCTGTCAAGAAACCAAAAGATACACTGTACTAGGCAAATCTCTGTTCAAGGGTCTCTTTAAAGTGCTAAAGTGCAAGGGAATGAAAGAATAAGGTTCACCTGGCTCAACAAAAGATATTTCAGCTGCCTCATAAGGCCCCAGGAATAGATGGTATACCAATTGAAGTATTTCAGATAACAGATGTTGCCCTGGATGTGCTCACCAAGTTGTGCCAAGAAATCTGGAGAACAACCACTTGGCCCACTGACTGGAAGAGATCTATATTTGTTCCCATTCCAAAGAAAGGTGACCCAACTGAGTGTGGAAACTACAGAACAGTGTCATTGATTTCACATGCAAGCAAGATTCTACTGAAGATCATCCAAAAACAATTAGAACAGCACATCAGCAGAGAACTGCCGGAAGTCCAGGCTGGGTTTTGAAGGGGTCGTGGTACTAGGGATATCGTTGCTGATGTTAGATGGATCTTGGCTGAAAGCAGAGAATTCCAGAAGAATGTCTATCTGTGTTTCATTGATTATGCAAAGGCATTTGACTGTGTGGATCATAACAAACTGTGGCTGACTCTGAGAAGAATGGGAATCCCAGAACATTTAATTGTGCTAATGCGAAACCTATACTTGGACCAAGAGGCAGTAGTCAGAACAGAGCAGGGTAACACTGCATGGTTCAAAATTGGGAAGGGTGTATGCCAGGGATGCATCCTGTCTCCATACTTTTTCAACATGTATGCAGAGCAGATTATCCGAGAGCCTGAGCTCTATGAGGAGAATTGTGGCATCAGGATTGGTGGAAGATCTATTAACAATCTCCGTTATGCAGATGACACAACCCTGCTTGCTGAAACTGAGGAGGACCTCATACACTTAATGCAAAAGGTCAAGGACTGCAGCCTTCAATATGGACCAAAGCTCAACATCAAGAAGACAAAGATTCTCGCCACTGGACCAGTTAGCAGCGTCAGGATGGATGACGAAGAGATTGAGAGTGTTCACAGCTTCACTTTGCTCGGCTCCACAGTCAACACTCTTGGTACCAGCAGTCAGGAAATCAAAAAGCGTATCGCGATGGGAAAGTCTGCTGTTAGGGACCTCTCAAAGGTACTCAGGAGCATCAGTGTCTCTCTGGAGACTAAGGTGCGCCTGATACAGGTCATGGTATTTGCAATCGCTTGTTATGCATCAGAGAGTTGGACAATGACTAGGGAGGACAGAAGGAGAGTAGATGCTTTTGAGCTGTGGTGCTGGAGAAGGGTACTGAATGTACCATGGACTGCCAGGAAAACAAACAGATTCATCTTGGAGAGGATTAAACCAAGCTACTCCTTGGAGGCAAGGATTCTGGGGCTTCGTCTGACATACTTTGGACATGTTGCCAGGAGGGACGGGTCCTTGGAGAGGGACATCATGCTTGGGAGGGTGGAGGGACAGCGCAGGAGGGGAAGACCCTCTATGAGATGGATTGATTCGGTGACTGGGGTAATAGGGATGGGTGTGTCAGAGGCGGTGCGGTTGGCGCAGGATAGAGCAGGGTTTAGGGCTGTTGTGCATAGGTTCGCTATGAGTCGGAAACGACTCGATGGCACATAGCAACAACAACAACATATGCATGTGAAAATTAGATCATGAGTAAGACCAGAGAAGGATTGATAGGAATGAATAAGAAGGACTGAAAAAGAACTGGCCAAAAAATAATTGGTGTAGATAAAAAGTATTGAATATCCCATGAACTGTCAAAATAACAAATCTGCCTTGGAACATGTGCAGCCATGGTGCTCATTAGAGGCAAGGATGGTGAGATTTCATCTCACCGTTTGGGAATGTTTTCAACAGCGGTCAATAGTTGGGAAATGACATCATACTTGAAATCAGAAGAGAGAAAAGCCCTCAAAGAGGTACATTGAACACAGTGACTGCAACAAGAGGCTTAAGCATAGTTTAAGGTGCACTGTGAGGGTGGTGTAGGATCAGCCAAGGTTTCAAGCTGCTGTACATGGGATTGATATGTTAGAGTTAACTGACAGTACCTAACGAAAAGATAAAAAAAAAATCCAAAAGACAAAACTAACCAACAAACCCCCAAAACAAACTAAATTACAAAAGCCCTCTAACTCATTGGCAGAGTCAGAACTGAGTCATAACTGACCCTCTAGAGGTTTTTGTTGTTCTTCCTGTTATGTGTCATCCATTCGGAAATGACTTATAGCTGACTCTATAGTGGCTTTTCAGAGGCTGTAAAACACACAGGAAGAGATTGTCCATCTTTCTCCTACAGAGAAGCTGGTGGATTTGAACTGCTTTTCTTTAATTGGCACTAAGCCATGAGAACTTATTGGCCAAATAAATATTTCTCAAAAATGCTATCTATGGAAAATAAAGTTGTGACAAAATTTACTCTCTACCTACTAAGGTAAATTGTCTTATACAACCAGGACAATCTCTAGTATGCTATTTCACATTTAAGAAATGAATACTAAAGGCAACTTTTACCTAAAGCCCTACTAATGTGGGAGAGAAATACATGTTTTATAAAGTCTTCATGAAATATAAATTTTTCCTAAAAATAATCTTAAAACTTCCATTATAATTGTCCAAACAAGGAATGCAAATTAAATATTTTATTCGACAAAAATTTTAATGGTCAAAGTAAAAACAATCAAGAAAGGATTGCTCCAGGGATGCATACCGTCCCTGAACCTTTTCAATCTGTATGCAGAACAGATCATTCAGGAAGAAGGGCTTTAAGAGGAGGAGTGTGACATCAAGATTAGAAGACTCATTAACAACCTACGATATGAAGATGACACAACCTTGCTTGCTGAAACTGAAGAAGATCTGAATCACTTGATGCATAAGGTCAAGGATTGTAATCTTCAATATGGATTGAAGCTCAACATCAAGAAGACAAATATTCTCAGCACTGGGACAACTGGCAGCACCATATTAGATGGAGAAGAGATTGAGGTTGTTAGCAATTACAATTTGCTTGGATCCACAATCAACACTCTTAACACCAGCATTCAGAAAATCTAAACATGAATTGCATTGGGATAATCTGCTGTCATGGACATCTCCAGTGTGCTGAAGAGCAACAATGTCAGTCTAAATACCAAGATGCACCTAAACCAGGACATGGTTTTCTCAATTACTTGTTATGCTTCAGAGAACTGGACAATGACTAA